ATGGATGAGGAGCTGAAGATGGAGAAGATTAAGCATCTTGGCCTGGAATCATACATACCAAAATGTACTAGAGCTTTAGAGCCAGCACTGCACTAAGGTCTTCTGACTCTTGCAATATGTCATCTTTCCACCGAACATACCATGCTACCTCCAATAGCTTGCTTATGATTAGACAAAAGACTAGAATTTTGCTAATGATTCTGTACTAGATGTTATCAAAGTCCATTTTATGCTATACTCTAAAAAATCTTGCATTAAAAAAGAACAACAAAACCCAAGAAAAATTTTTGGATCTAAAGTTGAGACTTGGGTTTAGTTCCTGACTCTGCCCCTTTACTTCCCACGTGGCCTTGGGCAAGTTGTTTAACTTTCTCATCTGTAAAATGAATGAGTTGATCTAGATCCCTGAGGTTTCTCTTTTTCCACTCTAGGTCTACAGTACCTGGCACATCCTGGGTGCTTAAAAAAAGTGTTGGGTTTTTTTTTTCTAAATTGACCTTTTGATTTTTCAAGGAGAAAAAGTCCTAATGGGAGGTAACCAATTTTGGCCTGTTTCATTAAAGTTTTTAATTTTTTCAATAGTAACCAATTTTTTTTTTCAAGTTTGCAAAGTATCTTGAAGAATAAATTCCTGGAAGGTAAAACCAAGTCTGTTTACTATACTTAGCAAAGTATCGAATGCAAATGAGCACTTAATAAATGCCCACTTATAATAATGGTAGTGGTGCCAAGTAATTTAATTGAAGTGTAATTATTTGTTTTAAACAGCATTGCCATGTTAGTAGATAACCCAAGATAACCAGTAGGGCAAGATATATCAAGTGGAGATAGTTGTTTTAAAAAATGACATAATGACATAAATATTACATTAAATTACCCAAACCTAAAAATACTTGTTTTTAGCAAAAAATACACTTAACTTAGAGTAGATCAGTCACACTCTAGATCAGACACATCTGCTCGACAGGCTGGCCTTCCTCTCTCTGAACTGACAGTTCACACCTGATGTAACTCTTACTCGCTAAACACATTCATGAATATCCCTCAAATCCCTGAGTCCCCACTGGCAACTTCCCTCCTGGGAGGCCCGAGGAAAGTTTTACTGCTTTCTGGTTTATGCCAGATATCATTATCACTGAATATTTCAAAACCCTCACTTTCCAAGTAAGACTGAGTTAACACCAACTGTCTTCTACAAATGGGTGGATTCTGATTATGCTTCCCTATCTGATGGGCAATGTACCATCAATTATCTTTCCTTTTATCCATATATAAAAAGTGAATTGTCATAGTTCCAGTGGGTAATAGGGTCGTTCCATCTCTGCCAGTTGTAAAACATTTCCCCTAGAAGAAAATTGATTCCTTGGCAGTCCAAGTTCAGTAAAAGCATGATTAAATAGTTACCCCCAAATAACCCCAAGTCTCTTTGAAACAGGAAAACCTGTTGTGCTTCTGTTTGGTAAGTCACTTAGGGAGAAGTCAGGTGTGTCTACCTTCCAGAAATGAATTGAATAGAAACCTGATTCATGAGCCAACATAATGCATAAATAAAAGGTATTCAATTTGGTAATGTGTATCTAATCCAAATTGATTGCGCTCAGCACCACCATTCCAAACCCTAAATTATTATTTATCTTTGCCTATTAATAAACACTATAGGTATTGTCAGTGGGCTTTTAAACCTCTTTAGATTACAATGTCAACCTGGTTCCCACTCAAGCGATAATAATGTATAAGTGATGTTATTACTTCTTACTACTAATACTAGCATGCTGCCTCCCACAATCCTTTTCCATGCATCATCTCTTTCAATTCTTACATCCCTGGGAAGCAGGTAGTACAAATAGGATAATGGGATTGAGAACCTGAACAAACCTTTGAGATTATCTAGTATGGTCTTTTTATTTTATAAACTAGGAAACTGAGTCTCACAGAAGTTACACGACTTGGGATCCCATCACAATCTTTCTAAGCTGTGACCCACCTCTTCGTATTCTATTGTTCCAACTTAAATTGGTCTCCCTTCAATTATCATACAAAAATCTATCTCTTGACCTCCGTGACTTTGAACAGACTGTTTCCCATGCCTGAAATGTTCTTCCTCACCTCTAATACTTGGAACCCCTACTTCTCTTCAAGGCTTCATTTAAGTGCCTCCTCCTACAAAAGGTCATTCCAAATTTTCCCAGTTGTCAGTGTCCCTTCTACCCCTGAAATTACTTTGTATTTATTCATATTTATTATGTATTTCCTTATTTCAATACATGTTGCTCCTTCCCCTCAGCAGATGGTAAATTCCTTGAAGGGAATTTGAGTTTTTTTAGTTTAAGTTTAAGTTTACTTTTAGTTTAAGTGTTTTTTCTTTCTTTTTTTTTGCTCAATGTCTAGAACATAGTAAGAACTTATTAAATGCTCATGGAATTGAATTGAATTATGGCAGTATAGTAACAAAGAGAACTGGCTTTGAATAAAGAGGACCTGGGCTCAAATCCTACTTATGATGTGCTATTTTGAGTAAGTTACTTTATCATTTTGGTGCCTTAATTTACTCATCTGTAAAATGGGCAGCTGGACCATATGGCCACTGAAGTTCCTTTGAGCTCTAGATGTATATACTTTTACAATTCAAGACCACATAGTACAAAGATATTTAACCTTTTTTGCATTATGGATCCCTTTGGCAATATGGTGAAGCCTATGGACCCTTCTTGGAATCATATTTTAAAATGCGTAACATAAAGTACATAATATGAGGAACAGAAAGGAAACCAATTATTTTGAACTGCACCTATCAAAATTATGATGATGATTATTTTTTGGCAATTGGAGTTAAGTGACCTGCCCAGGGTCACACAGCTAGCAAGTGTCAAATGTTTGGTCTGAGGCCAGATTTGAATTCAGGTCCGCCTGACTTCAGGGCCGGTGCTCTATCTACTGTGCCACCTATCTGCCCCCCAAAATTATTTTTTTAAAATAAGTTCACAGATCCCAGGTTAAGAAACCCTGACATAGAGGATAAATAAGTTTTCATTATTTTGCATTGTTAAGTGATGACATTCAAAACTAACAATGCTGAAACTAACCAACAGGTACCTCTGGTCAACCTGTGAAGATGCTGCCACCCATTTAAAGAAAAATTGAGGCCACAGCCTGCAGTGTTTGTCTCAGGTTGTGACCCTATTATCTGACCATGCCATCTAAGCAAAATTCAAGGAGCCATCACAATAGTTGTGATGTAGAAGACAAAAAGTATGTTGGCAGCTCTAAGCCATAATGAAAAGGATAGCTGGGCAGAAGTGGAGTCAAAGTGACAATAGAAATGGGCATGATTTGCTGCTCTTTTGAAGCCATGCAAAATGAAAATGATATGACAACCCAGAGGCAAGAAATACGTAGATGATTGGTCTCCAAAAGTCTTGAGGTGAAAACTACACCAAACCCACAAAGCGTTGGACATCAAAAGTGGGCTCTACTGAATCAGTTAATTGAAGCTGAAAATATGACCATCAAATATGAATTTTGAATGAACCCTTGAGGCTGGGGTTGATTGCATATTGCTAACAAATAAGAACACACTAATAATAAACACAATGATAATGAACGGGAAGACATCCCAGAGTATGAATATCTACAAATGCTCCACAGAAAAGGAGACCCTTAAGGCTATAATCACTTCATTTAAAGATATCAATCCTACATAATAAATCAACAAGTTAAAGGGCTACCATCGGTCTGGCAAGATGATTGGAGTAAGGAATATATAGACATATAAGATTATTTGGGAAAGAGCCTAAAGAGGAAATATGACCAGGACTTAAAGGATGAGTAGAATCTGGATAATTAGAAACAACAGCAGAGTTACTAGGAATTAGCTTAGTGTTGGGGCAGCTAGGTGGCACAGTAGATAGAATGCCAGGTCTGAAGTCAGGAAGACTTATTTTCCTGAGTTTAAATCTGGTCTCAGACAGGCTGTGTGATCCTGGGCAAGTCACTTAACCCTGTTTGCCTGAGTTTTTTACCTGTAAAAATGAGCTGAAGGAGGAAATGGCAAACCACTCCAGGATCTTTGCCAAAAAAAAAAACTCAGATGGGGTCAAAAGTCAGACACAACTGAAACAACTGAACAACAAAAACAACAACAAAGCTTAGTGTTGATGTGTGTCAATTTAATTTGAAGAACCTTTCCTAAGAGCCTTCTATTTGAAAAATTCTGTGCTAACATCCCAAAGAAGTACACTTCTCAAAGAATTAGTCTTATTTTGAGTTGCTTAAGATTGTTTTACCTTGATTTTTCCACCTGCCCCATCCATCATGAGCTGCTGCCTTCAATCTTTGATTTCACATTTATTGTTTGGATCCCACAATTTAGGACTTAATTTTATTCTACCAATGCTTCATTTTACCCCTTTTTAAAAACCCAGCTAGATTCTGAGCTTATTGAGGTCCAAAATTAAATGTTATAGTTTATTTTCTGTATTTTTCACATCCCTGGCACAGTGCTAAACACAGTAGAATGCAAAATGAATACCAGATCAAGTGACTAGAGTAATATTCAACTCCATCTATGCAGATATCTGCTGGAAGACCCAGTCTACTAAAAGCAGAGCACCTAAAAAGGGTAATCTCCTGAGGGCAGGTACTGTTTCTATGATCAACTCCCCCCCCCGCCTTTTTCCTCCTCCTATTCAAGCCTAGATCCAAATAATTGCCCACTGACAGTACTTGTCCAAAATATACATGGACTGATGGATTAGATCACTTAGTTGCCTGTTTATGACAGCCAAAACATCCCATATTCTGGGTAATAACCATTCTTCCACTTGTTTTTTCCTGTGTGGGTCATTATGTCAATCTCATCTGTATAGCCATGTACTTCATTTCAGGAAGTCCTCTAGTGTTTTGAGAATCAATACCTTCAGTCAATATTATCTGCAAACAGGAACTCTAGAGAACCCTTCATAATAACCAAGAAAAAGAATACTGAATGTAGTCAGACATACCATCTTAGGTTTCAGGATATCAGACTTGTAAAAGTTCGGTGAAAATCTAGATGATTCCCAAAACTGAAAAGAAAGTTGGCTTAAGAAGTTTTGGGAGGCAGACATTTGAGCCTGAATAGTTCATTTGATTTCATACCAAGGGATTTGGTAGGTCTAAGTTTTCTCTGTCCTGGGTCCCACCTCCAATAGGACATAATAGGGTCCTGGGAGGAAGGAATGCACGGAGGATTCTGGAACCTGCTTTGAAAGAATTGTGAGGGAAGGAGATATCTCATGTCCTATGTCTTCTTCACCTTATTTCAAGAAGGCTGTGTTTATCTTTCTAAACGTGAAATACTTTTTTGCTTTCTCCAATTTGTTTTTAATGGTGGAAGAATGAAATACAATGAAGTTTTACTGATTTTGAGCCAAAAATTCTAAAGAAAAAAGCTTTTGGAGTCTCAGAAAAATAAAATGCTGTCTCTACAATCAAGCCCAAGATAAGTGAGGTGATAATAAGAAAGCATTTTATATAGTTTCAAGTCCCCAAACTTGGATGAAATATATTCTAGGGTATTGAAAGAACTGATATAAGTGATTTCAAAGACCAGTAATTTTTGAAAAATTACAGAGAACAGCAGAAAGACTAGAAATGGATAAATGCTGTTCAAATAGACAAATAACAATAATTTATTGAGCCTATTATATGTCTGGCACTGTGCCAAGTGGTAGGAGTACAAAGTTCTAGCTTGAGAAGAAAGCAAAAGCAGGTTCCAGAAATCACAGACCAGTAAATTTGACATCAATCCCAAGAAAAATTCTAGAATGAACTATTCAGAAAATCCTTTTCTTATAAGAATTTAGAAACAGTTGGATTCACTAGAAAATAGTCATGTCAAACTAGCCACATTTCACTTTTTCCACAGGTATGTTAGTTGGGCACTTCACCAAAATACTTCTTTGATCTATTATTGTGGTATGGATGTTACTATAGATTCTCAAAGATTATGCCAATGGAAGACAAACTTGGGCAGAACTTAGTAAGCCAAAAGGGGTCTAAGAAGAGGGCTATGTGTATATCACATGCCTGTTGTCCAAGAGTCAGAGAGTATCTTCACCAAAACCTTGGCCACTAGAAACATTTGGCCATATTTATCCGTGAAACTGTCAACAGAGGCACTGAAGTAGGCTTGAGGGCTATATCTTTAGCTCTGTTTTGTTCTTTATTTTTGTCAAAAACTTAAATGAAGGTATATAAAAGGCATGCTTATCACATTTGCAGATGAGCTCAAGGTAGGGGGCAGTTAAATATGTAATAGATATAAATTGTAAAGTCCTGCTTTATTTTTAAAAATGCATTAGTATAGTACAGTGTACTTTGAAGACAGAATTGAAAGCAGCTTATGTTTAAAAAAAACTGGGGATTTTGTTGACTGAAATTTTGAAGTGGCTGCTAAAAGAACCAACTATAGTCTCAGTCTATATTAATAAATACATGAACGTATTTCCTCAACTGTAAAAGGAGCTGAAGAAGGAAATGGCAAACCATTCCACTATCTTTGCCAAGGTCAAGAAGAGTCAGAAAGGACTGAAAAGACTGAATAATAAAATTTGTTTGTTATCTTCCCCACTAGATTGTGAGCTCTTCAAGGGCAGGAACTTTTGTCTCTGTTTGTATCCCCAAGAGAACAAAGCCTAGCACAAAGTAGGTACTTAAAAAATGATTATTGACGGATTTGGAAGAGGGAAGTCAGGGAGAAATTGCAGTTGTATTCAAGCCCTTGACAGGCTGTCAACAGGAAAAAGGATTAGACTCCTTCCATTTGGATTACACTTTGTTCCATTTAGGAGAAAAAGAATGAAAGCTGCAAAGAGGTAAATTTAAGATTAGTGTCAAGGAACAAAAAAAAGTAAAGCTGTCCCAAAGAGGAATGGACTGTCAGGAGGTAGTCCATGATGTTCTTCCTATTCATATCTAGAGATTTTTAAACACTGCCTAAATGAACACTGGTCAGGTGTCTTGTAGTGAGGGTACATTTTCAGACATGGGCTCTGAGGTTCCTTTCTTCCTATAATTCTGTGATTATGTGAAGACTCACAAAACAAGTACTGTCATAAGAGATCATTGAAACCTCCCTATCTTCACCTAGGACTGAACTATCAAATGCCAAATAAATAAATAAAATAATACTGATGAGAAGAGTGAACAAGTGGAAGACACTCTTTCTCTGATTGGGTTGGTTATGTGGATGGCCAATGAAGTGACCAAAGAATAGTATTTACACTTTACATAACAAAATTGCCATTATATTTGCACTACTTGATGCAGGTGGTGTTTTTTGTTTGGATGGGTTTTTTTAGGGCAAAGTCATCACAAAATATGTATAAATTACCCATAAATTTAAAGTTAAAGAAAAACATTGTTTAGTCATTTTAGTCGGTTCAGGTAATTGAGTACCTTAACTCAATAAAAATGGAAAATTAATTTCAGGCACTTGGCCAGACTTTCAAGTAAGATAAATTTAATCAGTCAAGCTTTCCAATGTCCTTCAAATCACGACAAAACTTTTGCTGTTGTTATTTAGTCAGCCCTGTCTGACTCTTTGTGACCCAATTTGGGGTCTTCTTGGCATAGATGCTAGAGTGGTTTGTCATTTCCTTCTTCAGTTCATTTTACAGATGAGGAAACTGAGGCAAACAAGGTTAAATGACTTGCTCAGCATCACATACCTAGTAAGTGTCTGAGGCCAGATTTGACCTCAGGAAGATGAGTCTTTTTGACTCTAGGACTGACATTCTATCTACTGTGCCACTTAGCTACCCCAAAGGAAAAGAAAATACTTTAATCACAAATCATTATTCCTCTGTGCAGCTCAGCTTTGTTTGTTCTTAAAAATCTCCTCAGGTAATGGATGATGGAGATTAAAGCAATGAGGTTAGAGTCTTGTTCAGAATAAAAGTCAATCCTAGAAGATCAGTTGGAATTCCAGATGTCTAGCACCAAATTGCTATCCTCTGATTGTTCCTTGTTCTCTAGAAGGACACAAAAGTTTGGAAATCCAGGGAGCCACTTTGGGAAAGTAGCCAAACAAAAGTTAGCCTTTTTCCATTGTTTCCCATTGCTCCCAAGAGCTCCCAATAGCACCAAGTGGTTTGGAGGGTGGTGTACTACAGCACACCACACGTGCCAAGAGAAAACAAATCCAAAAGAGAAAGAGGGGCCGGTAGATGTCCAGTGATACAAGCTGAACACTTGAAATAATTCTGCTGATGGGAAAATATTTCTGGTGCACCAAGTGTGGTTAGTACTGGAAGACTGTGAATCAACCCACTTGAATTCAAAATTTCAAATACCAGCTATGGAAGTCAGATTGTTTGGATGAGCTGACATAAGAGTTCAATTGTTAGACTTTATGTCCACATATTTAAAATCTGTTTTCCTATGCATTTATGCAGCATTCACTGATGAATAAATTAGAGACAAATCACATAAATCAACAGAAATCATGACTTTATATACACACTGTAAGCTTCATTGTTCATGCAGTAGAATAGCTGATCCTTAACAGCTTCTCTCAGGCATAAGGAACAAACAGATACTCATCTTCACTAGACACTCAGGGCTTTCTTTTTACACCATTTTCATAGGCAAACATGTTTAACAGCTTGGATTTGTTAGTATACTCTTCTCCCCCAACTCCTGCTATTGCAGACAAATCTTTTATCAGGCTCTTGACCAAGTAGAAAAGTGATTTTTTTGGAGAACCCCATCTTTTACTTATTTTATTTATATTTTAAAATTGAATTTACTAAGAATTTTCCATCTGGAAAGCAAAGGTTTTGTTAGGTGCTTTATGTGGAATAAGTCAAACTCAGGGGACTTGAGGCTAAAAATTCCCCAGGCTCTCCTTCTGTCCTACCACTATGTCTAATTTGTGGGTGTCATATTTATTGTCCCTTGTTATTCAGAGTGGGGTGTAGAATGAGACCTTGAGTTCTAACAATGAGAAAACTGTGTCTCCTGCCATTCAGGGAAAACTAGAAACTTTTTATTTGTTAGGCAAAAACTGTACCCAATTAACAGAAGAAGATTTACCCTAGCAGATGTTTTGACCTGTCCAGAGAATGACTAGCACTATACATTGTGAGCAAAGTGGAGCTGTAGGATACATGATGGAGAGTGGCAAGAAATTCTTTGAATAAATGAATGTATGAACAAGCATTAATTATGTATCTACTTTTGTCAGGCAGGCCCTGTAGCTATTCCCTGAATATACAAATATGAAAGTGAGGTAGTGCCTCCCCTCAAGGAGGATGCATTCAAAGAGGGAGATATAAAGGGAACGAGAATGTTTTTGTTTTTTATTGTTCAGTTGCTCAGTCATGTCCGATTCTTTATGACCCCATGGACTATATCATGCCAGGCCCTTCTATCCTCCAACATCTCCCAAAGTCTTTCCAAGCTCATGTTCATTGCTTCCATGACACCATCTATCCACATCATTTCTGCCATCCCCTTTTCCCTCTGCCTTCAATATTTCCCAACATTGTACATGATTTAGACATGAGGGGTGATACGCTAAGCAAATTAGGACAGCAAGAAATTGTTTACCTGTCAGATCTATGGAGAAGGGAAGAATTTATGACCAAACAAGAGATAGAGAACATTATAAAATGCAAAATGGATAATTTTGATTATGTTAAATTTTAAAAGTTTTTGCCCAAATGAAGCCAATTCAACCACGATTAGAAAAGAAGCAAAAAGCTGGGAAATAATTTTTACAGTGTCTCTGATAAAGGCCTCATTTCTAAAATAATAGAGAACTGAGTCAAATCTATATGAATACAAGTAATTCCCCAATTATAAATGGTCAAAGGATATAAATAAGCAGTTTTCAGATGAAGAAATTAAAGCTATCTGTAATCATATGAAAAAGTGCTCTAAATTACTATTGATTAGAGAAATACAAATTAAAACAACTCTGAGGTACCACATCACACCTATCAGATTGGCTAACGTGACAAAGCAGGAAAATGATAAATGTTGGAGAAGATGTGGGAAAAATGGAACACTAAAGAATTGTTGGTAGAGTTGTGAACTGATTCAAGTATTCTGGAGAATAATTTGGAACTATTCCCAAAGGGCTATAAAAAAAGTGCATGCCCTTTGATCCAGCAATACCACTA